CGGGGCCGCCCCTCCTCCTACCGGGCCCTCCGCAGCGCTGTGTCCAGCCTGGCGCGCGTGGACGATTTCCACTGCGCGGAGAAGATCGGGGCCGGCTTCTTCTCTGAGGTCTACAAGGTAGGACAGGCGGAGAGGGCAGAGGGGCGGGGCCGAGCCTGCAACGCAAGCTGGAACTGGGGGCCCAGAGCGACAGGCAGCGGGCCCGCACTCAGGCGACCCGCTGGGCCTGCCAGCGACTCGCCTGCTGCTGCCACCCCCAGGTCCGGCACCGACAGTCAGGGCAAATCATGGTGCTGAAGATGAACAGGCTCCCCAGTAACCGGGGAAACACGCTACGGGAGGTGCAGCTGATGAACCGGCTCCGGCATCCCAACATCCTTAGGTGAGCTGGAGGTGGCTAGAGGGAAAGGTAAAGATCCCGCGGGAAAAGTGGAGACGGCCGGAGCTCTAATAGCTCTAACAGCCTACCCTTCTATCTTCCGCATCCTCTTCCAGGTTCATGGGGGTCTGTGTGCACCAGGGGCAATTGCACGCTCTCACAGAGGTGAGGATGGGCCAAGAAGGGGAAACACAAGGGGAGTAGGAGTCAGCGGGACAAGTGGATCTGCGGAGGGATAAGGAGAGGCAGCAGAACCTCCTCCCAAGGGAGGTTTCCCTGAACTTCCCTTTGGGCAAAACACTTATGAGGTCTCCGCTGGTGCTATCCCCTGTATCCCCCGGGTCAGTGATGTCCAATAGAACTTTCTGCAGTGATGGAAATGTTTTATGTCTGTGTTGTCGGATATAGTAGCCACTAGTCACATGTGGCTAGGGGGCATTTGAAATGTAGCTACTGTGACTGACGAACTGAATGTCTAGTTTTATTTAATGATTTAAATTTAAATAGTTGTACATGGCTAGTGGCATGGCTAGTAGCTACTGTATTGGACGGGGCAGTCCTAGAACATGAATGGGGGGCCCTAGAGCACAGACTGACCCTTCTGACCTTTGTGATCCTCCTGAGTGCTGTGCCCCCTGGCTTATAAGTGGGGGACCTAGAACATAGGCTGAAGCCTTGACATTCATTCCCCTTCTCCACCCCCATGACCTAGTACATGAATGGGGGGACCCTAGAACAGCTGCTCAGCTCCCCCGAGCCTCTATCCTGGACTATCAGACTCCACCTGGCTCTGGACATTGCCCGTGGCTTGCGGTACCTGCATGACAAAGGTATATTCCACCGAGACCTCACATCCAAGGTAGGCTGGCCAGGTGGGTGGAGGCATGAAGGGGGTTTGAAACAGACTGTAACTGGCCTGTGGATATTGGAACATGGATAATAGCTATATTAGGATGTTAGAATGTATATTAGGCATTTGGGCAAGGCATTGGAGAATATTGGGGGGCTGGGGTGGAGGAGAGTGCTTTGAGGGAATGCGTGTCATGCTGGGTTTGGAGTGATGGATAATATTAGAGAATTTGGGTGCACTGGAGAACTGGGAGATCAGACACGGTTGGGGTTATGCTGGAATGACAGGGCTTTGGGGTATGTGTGGGGAGACCAGAGAGCAGAAGGTGATGGCTGTATGGGGATGCTATATGTGTGTGTCAGAACTGTCTGGTCCGACGGGAAGACCGAGGCTTCACAGCTGTTGTGGGTGACTTCGGGCTGGCAGAAAAGATTCCTGTGTATAGGTGAGGTGAATGCCCCTGTCCCCCTAAACTTACCAGAGGGCCCCTACCTAAATGAACCATCTAGAATGCCAGGCCCCCAGACACCTTTCCCTTGGGGTGGGAAGGGGCTTCACTTCATCCCCTTTTGCTTGAGGAAGGTGCCTGAGTGGGATGTTTCTGACCATCCTGCCCCTGCCCCTGCAGGGAAGGAGCAAGGAAGGAGCCGTTGGCCGTGGTGGGTTCCCCATACTGGATGGCTCCAGAGGTATTGCGGGGTGAGCTGTATGATGAGAAGGTGAGACATCAACCCTTCAGGTCTCCAAGGCCTTCCAGAGACCCTTGAAATACTCTCATAAGGGCCCATCCCAAGCTCTTCAACAGCCCTGCCAGATATGTAGGAAGCCCCAAGATACCACTTGCCCCTCACAAGCATCCCCCAACACATGAAAACTGTCAAGACTCCCCAGCTCCCTCCATATTTCTGGTACCTGGCCTACCTCCTCCTGCTGACTTTCTCTCTTATCCCCAGGCTGATGTATTTGCCTTTGGCATTGTCCTCTGTGAGCTCATCGCCCGAGTACCTGCAGATCCTGACTATCTACCCCGTACTGAGGTAAATGTGTCTGGGTTTGGAAAGGAAAGATATTGCCAGATGGGGTGGCTCATAACCAAGGAGGGTTCCCTGGAGGTTGGAGTCCTGATGGAGGGGTAGAAGGAGAGCCCAAGGAAGACTGACTTGAAGGCGCCTCCTCTCTGCTGTCCCCACAGGACTTTGGCCTGGATGTGCCAGCTTTCCGAACCCTAGTGGGCGATGACTGCCCACTGCCCTTCCTGCTCCTGGCCATCCATTGCTGCAGTGTAAGAGCCTCACTCACCCTCCTCACCCCACCCCTGCCCCCAACCATGAGCTGACATAGCTGCCCTTTGGGTCCCAGGTGATGGGAGGAAAACTCAGGGACGCTTTTTCAGAGCACTTAGTGAAACTGCCCCGTCCCTACCCATCAGATGGAACCTGGTGCCCGTGCCCCCTTCACTGAAATCACCCAACACCTGGAATGGATCCTGGAGCAGATGCCTGAGCCAGCCCTCCTCACCAAGGCTCCCCTGACACATAATCAGGGTAAGTGAGCATGACCTTGACCCAGCTGAAGTCCTTCTGCCTCTCTCCTCCTTAGAACTCAGGGAATTCTCTTGGAGAAACTAAGTGTATTCGTTGAGAAGGCTAGGTTGAGGGTTGTCTCAAAGAAGATAGTTTTTAATGCTAGAGCCTGAGGGAGGGGATTAAGGAAAGAAGTAAAAGGAAGCTGGATATGATACCCCCCCTTCCCAAAGTATCCTGTGGGACTCCTTTTTCTAAGCTCTAGTCCTAGCAGCCTCCTGAAGAATAAAAAGGCCCTCAAAAAGCTATGATCAAATGCTGACAGCAGTGATCACAGACCTCTCTGTCTACAGGGTCTCTTCCAAGATGGGGTCCCTCTGCCACACTTCCCCGGCCAGACCCCCGGCTCTCCCGAAGCCGGTCAGACCTCTTCCTGCCCCCATCACCAGGATCACCCCCCAACTGGGGGGACAATCTGACTCGAGTCAACCCTTTTTCACTACGGGAAGACCTCAGAGGAGGCAAGATCAAGCTCCTGGACACACCCAGCAAGCCAGTCGCCCCCCTGCCCCTTGTACCACCATCACCACTGTCCTCTACCCACCTGCCCTTGGTGACCACTCCAGAGACCCTGGTCCAGCCCGGGACACCTGTCCGCCGCTGCCGCTCCCTACCCTCATCTCCTGAGCTTCCTCGACGTATGGAGACAGCACTGCCAGGTTCTGGCCCTCCCCCCGTGGGCCCCTCAGCTGAAGAGAGGATGGAATGTGAGGGCAGCAGCCCTGAGCCAGAACCCCCAGGACCAGCTCCCCAGCTGCCCCTGGCTGTGGCCACAGACAACTTCATCAGCACTTGTTCCTCTGCCCAACCCTGGTCCTCCCAATCAGGACCTCCCCTCAACAACAACCCCCCAGCTGTGGTAGTAAACTCCCCACAAGGCTGGGCTGGGGAGCCCTGGAACAGGGCTCAGCATAGCCTGCCCCGGGCGGCAGCTCTGGAGCGGACAGAACCCTCGCCGCCCCCTTCAGTTCCCCGGGAGACTGATGAGGGGCTGCCCTGTCCTGGCTGCTGCCTTGGCCCCTTCAGCTTTAGCTTCCTGTCCATGTGCCCCCGCCCCACACCAGCTGTTGCCCGCTACCGCAACCTGAACTGTGAGGCAGGCAGTCTCCTTTGCCACCGAGGGCACCACGCCAAGCCACCCACTCCCAGTCTGCAGCTGCCTGGGGCACGCTCTTAACAGTGGGGCCTGTGGTCTCAGACCTCCAACTTTGGCCTTCAGGACACCCTGTGAGGACAGAGCGCAAATGCTGGACAGCGTCAGTCCCAGATGGGCTGACCAGCCCTTCTCCCCATATAGGGGAGCATCAGCATGAACTCAAGAGACAGAGCACTTCCTGTCCAACCCCTGGGCTCACTCTCCTGCGGGGATCCCTGAACCAGACACAGCATTGCTGACACATAAGACTAACACGTGCAAATTATTTAAAAGTATTTCAATAAAACTGCCTGGCTGGCTCCGGGCTGCCCCTATCCGCTAAGCCGGTACGCCCTCCTCCCCCCCTCCACTTTGCTGTGGGAGTTTCTTCGGGAGGCCAAAGTCCCTTCTAGAGGCTTCTTAGCCCTTTTCCTAGGAACAGTCCAGTTTCTGGGACAGAGTTTCAAGCAGGTAGCAGGCTGGCTAGAAGTATCAGGCATGGATCAGTCATGGGCTGGGCACTGCCCGGGCAGAGTGAGGGAGCACTGGAGGGAGGTCATCATAGGCCCTGCAGGCCACAGGTTAGGGATGAGGGGCACAGGCTCTTGTTGGCATGAGTATCTGGAAGAGTAAAGCAGCAGTGAGCTCCACAGTTGACTGTCACTAAGAACGAACCCTCATCTAGGTCACCCCATCTCCTCCCCAGGGCTCTGGACAGCCACATCACCAGCCTCCCTTCAGTTTTAAGGCCTTGCCTGCCCCTCTCCCCTGCCCAACCCTCCTTTACATAAGCAGCCCAGGCCCCTGGAGCTGTGAGCAGGACTGCCACTCCCAGGAACAAGTTTTCCCTCTCATCTCTGGGACCCTGCTCTGAGTCTCTCTTCCCCGAGTCCTCCGCGCCTCATCCCCATCCCTCGCACTTACCCAGCTCAAAAGTGCGAAAAGTGTTCCCCATCTGGATACTTGAAGGCTGCCATCTGACAGATGCAGGGAAGCATATGTGAACACTGCTCTTGCTGCAGTTTTTGCCAATAGTTTTGTACCTTACCACAGTCTAGGTTTTGTGTCCTAAACCTTTGTTTTTGTGGCCCAAACCTGTACAGTAGTGAAATAGAACAGGAGTAAGCTCTGGACCCCTCCTTCCCATCTTCCCTTCTCCACTTGCCCTTGCATAAAGCTTAACCCAAGTCCTAACTCACCCCACCTGCCCAGACACAGCCCACGCCTGAGTGTGGCTCAGAGTCCAATGGCTGGATTCCAACCAGAAGAGGCTTTAGGACCAGGGAGGGAAACGTCATCCAAGATCTTAAAGTTGAAAACTCCAGTTAGGGAACATGGGAGGTCACCACCCTGCTTCAGGGTTCCTGGGGTCGGTCGTCTTAAAGTTACCCCACTGCTCCCTTGTTTACTTCTTTAGTGCCTCGTGTGGCCCGACTGAGAAAGTAACAACCTCAGTTTGGGCAGTTTTGTCAAGGGATGGGAAGTTAGGTTAGGGTACCAGGATTCTTGATCAGCTGTGAAGCCCAGGCTAAATCCTCAGCTTCTGAGAGAAGATGAGAAAAAGATGGCATAGGTTCCCAATCTAGTAATTATCCCCCCAAAATTGTATGTACCAGGGACTGCTAGGTACTGGGGACAGAACAGAGCACAAGACTGGTCTAAACAGTTATTAACCAAATAGAGAAAATGAACAAAAGGGCAATCACAGTATTGATTTATGAAAGATTTTTGGGATGAAGACCTGGAAAAGAAATCTCTTTACTGTGCCCTTAGGAAGGGAATATAGAGTTGAAAATACCTGAAAGTCCTAACAAACTTACCCATTGAATAGTGTGCCATCAGTCCACTCCCAGTTCTTATTGAAGCGGAGGCCAATCCAACATGAATTAAATAGACCATCAGGTGGTAACAACTGATTTAAGATTTCTTTGGAGTCAAATAGCTGAGGGGAGATTCAGAGAGACATGAGGTGTATAGAGAGTGCTGAGAAATACGGAAGAAAATGAATACCCTAGGGAGGCCTGTGAGCTTTGGCAAGAGGGCTTGTCCCTGCATCTTCCTAGTGTCCACCCTGCAGGTGCAGGCTCACCCTTTAGTTCACCTCCCAGCTGGAGGAGAAACTCTGCCAGCCTTTAGAAGGGGGCCATCTAGTAGGCTATTCTAGTCACAGGGAACCTATCCCTACAATCCAGCCCAGCAGGTATGGAATATGTCTCCCTGAGAAGCCATGAGAGTCGAACCTGTTAAGTAGCCCAGAGAGATGACCAGAAAGCTGGGATGAGAAACACGTTAAAGTAGCAAAGGTTCATAAATTTCAACTCTCATGCCAACTCTTATCAGTAGGGGCTACCTGGAGAAAAGATGCACCGGCTGTTTTCAAGTTCGAAGGTAAAGAGCATTGTGACTGATTATCAGTATCTGCATGGAAGAGAAATGGGAAGCCCAGCATGCACGCCAAGTGTGCATTGCCACTTCTGACTTGAGGACGTATGTCCCTTTACCTAACAGATGCAAATACAGCCTGTGGATAAGAGTATTCTTACTGAATAATAAGAGTAAGCTTGAAGATCTTTGAATATGGCCAGATCGGAGGACAGAGATTTACAATGCTTTCGGCTGTCCTCCCAATTTCTCTGAATAGGTGAGACGTAAAAGCAGCTTGTCCTCTTCTGTATCCATCCCATGGGGCAGCAGGTTTCTAAAAAAGAGGAAGAGTGTGACAGCACTGCCCAGACCCAGAAGGAAGGTCTCAGCACTGTTTTTGGATGGAAGTGACCACTCAGCAGCAATCTGGTTGCTAACAATATTCTCCTGGGTCTAAACTCAGTGCCTTCATTGACTCCTAGTCTTTGACCTTTGCTCTCTTTTGCCACCTTTGCTCTCTTTTGCCTGCCCTGGAAATGCCATACCTGTGTGTACTTAGTAGAAAGCTTTAACATTCAACAACATTACTCTCTAATAATCTGGGAGGTTTATTCCAATAGGGCTGGTGTTACTAGCCCCAATTTCTGACCAATTACAGTCTACCCCCCCCCCATTTTGGCTAACCTCACCTGGGCCCCCTACAATTGTTCACTAGCCTCTAATTCATCTCACTAGTTCCCTAAAGCATCCCCCACTGCATATGCAAAACTTTTCCCACACTCCTCAAGCCAACCACCTCCTTGCCTCTCTACTCTTCCACAAGCATACAGCTTGGTTCCTATTTTACTGAAATTGTCAGACTCCTCATGTGAGCTCTCTCCATTTCCCTTCTCTTCCCCTCAAAATTTACGTCTCTCCTCTGTTCCTCTTTTCCTGATTATCCATAATAAACATCCCTCTTTTCTTTTTAATGTCAGCCGCACCCCAGTCTGTGCTCCTGATCCCAGCCGTACCCAACTCTCTTCCAACACTCTGTTCAATCAGTCCTACCTCCATTATTCAGATCATTCCCTCTCCACTAGCTCCCTCTCTTCTGCCTACATTTTCATGTCTCCACTCAGCTACCCCCTTGAGCTACTGTCTTATGGCAACTTCAAGGAATAAAAAGAAGTCCAGTGTGGCTAGATCAAAGAGGATAAGGGGTAAGTGGCATGCTGGAAGGCAGGCAGGGCCTTGGAAGCCATGCTAAGGATTTTTTATTTTTATATTACAAAGAGAAAGTCCATGTAGAGTTTTACACAGAAGAGTTTTGTTCATTGATTAAGTAGGAGATTGAAGGCATCTGCTGAAAGTGAGGGGGAAGGTAGCAGGGTAAGGAGTTCTTATGGGGAGCAAACTGACCACCCCAGGGATTGCTAGGCAGTGCTGAGGCCCCAGCTGAGGCTGGAGACTAGCGTTTCACTGGCACCAAGCAGAATGATTGCACACTTTGTCACACCTGGGTGCAGACATGTGCAAGGTGGGCAGTTGAGTTCATCCAGAGTTGAGATTTTGCCAGTCAGGTGCACCAGAAGGATGATGAAACCAAGGAGTGGTTGAAGTGATGGACTCCGGAATCCAGTACATAGGGAGAGAAGTGAGGATAGGAGACAGGCTGATGGGAAGGGAGGAAACAGGGGAGTCAGTGGGTTGGAGGCTTGGGTGAGGATGAAGAAGTATGGGGAAATTGTGCGGAAGGGTGGGCAGTTGTGATCAGAGTGGAAGTCTGAAGAGTCATTTCAGCACAAGAGTCATTTCAGATGCTGAGGCCCAGGGGGCAGCAGTGGGAATGAGTGGCAGTACTGACATGGAAGTGAGTGTCACAGAGGACAAGGAGGTTAAGGAAATGAGGACTGAGGGTGTTTTCATATAAAATCTTGCTGTCCCAAGCCTAGAGGGAGCATCCAGGTGCCCCCTGAGCCAGATGGAGACTAACCCTGACCATAGATATCCAGTCCATAAACATTCCAGTCCTCTTCTAGGCACCCTGTCTAGAAACCTAGCCTGCTTTGGTACAGCCTTTCCCCTTTTATGTATCCCCCTTTACCATCCCCCATATTGGATGGGTTCTTGCTTTCAAAATGGATGAACATCCCATCCCAGTTCCCTAAATCACAGTACCCTTCCCACTTCATTGTGAGTGCCATCCATGCATGAGAATGTCTGCTTCTTGCCCCACCACCAGATTGTACCTCATCAATCACTAATTCTTAACCTTTGTGGGGGGAGTCTCAGATGTATTGAGAATCTAATTAAAGCTATACTATACTCTCTTTAGAAAAATATGCAAAAAATTAAGTTACAAAAAAGAAAAGAAAAATGTGCAGACAACAAATTTCACATCCAAATTCAGGAGGTGCCCAGATCCTTGACACAGACATCATGCCAGATACCTGAGTTTACCATGCTGCTTTGGACAGTGTAGTTTGGATTGCTGGCTGCCACCCTTCCCTCCCCAACAGGGTCTGCCTTAGAGCTGGGTGAGCCCCCTCAATCCAGTGTGCAGCTTCAGCCTTCTTCCTGCATGGCTCATGTCAGCCACCACTCTGGTTCACTACCCCATTTCCGCAACAACTCATTGACTTCCTGATACATAGATAGATCTCCATCATTAGTGTCTCCTTTCTTCAATCCATGCCTCACAGCAGTCCCCTCTTGGCTCCCCCCAGAGCAGTTACCTGGTGAGGAACATTTGAAGAAGGACTTCAGTGTGTCTTGCACATTGCTCAGCCTCTGCTCCAGGCTGCTCCTCTGCCCCTCCTCCCTTCGCAAGGTCTCCTCTGTCTTCTCCCGGTCAGACTGGCAGTCCTTTAACTGCCCTTCAGCAGCCTGGCGAAGCCCTTGTTCCACCTGTAGTGCTTTTTGACTCTGGGCCAGCTCCCTCCTGGACCCTTGCACCTCCTCTTCGCTATTCTCCACCTGGGTTATCTTTAGGTGGAGCTGCTGGTGCAGGCTGCTGTTAGTGGCTTCCAGAACCCTGTCCGTCTGCCGGAGCTGCTGAGACACCTGCAGATCTGTTTGGTCATAAAGAGTGATTTGGAGGGCATCTTCACCAGACACACCCTGGACCCCCGAGACTTCAGCATCAGCCCTTGCACTGCTCCTTCCAACTTTTTGCACAATGAGCTGAAATATAAGATCTGACTGCCTAAAGCTTAAGGAAGTACTGGATAAGGTAAGGACAATTTAGGAGGACGCAGTGCTGGAAACCAGACCAAAAGCTAAGGGTTTGGTGGGAGTGACTATGGGCTCTACTGAGGAAGGGTGGCTGTTGGGGGGGAGCAGGGAAAAGGTCGTTTAGGGGTAAGTGGGAAGTGGGGGGCAACCATACTCACAGCGCACTCCCAGGCAGATGGCGGCCACACCTAACAGCAGGCAGGTGAGGAGCAGGCCAAGGAGGAGGAGGTGAGTGTAGGCTACACAGCCTTAGGGAGCGAGTGGAATGAGGGGCAATCAGTCGCGGGAAAGAATTTATAGACTGAGGGGATGGGGGGAGGGGATTCACGAGGAAAAAGCACCCCTAACAGGACAGTGATGCAGGGTTGAGGAGGGCAGGCAAGGTCGGCTTGGTGGGCTAGTGGGAGTGTTTTACAAGTAGGGGAGGGAGGTGTTCCAGAATAAAGGTTGGGGATTATCAGACAGAGAGGGGGAAAAGGAAAGGTACGTGAACTGGGGACTTGAAGCAGTCTGGGTCGACATATTGGAATGATCAATATGGGGATGGGGTGAAAGCGGCACCGAGAGGGGTCGCGGTACCGCCGAGGCGTCGGAAGGGCTGCGCCCGGGCTCCCTCCCGGGCCAAGCCTGCACACAGCAGGTCGGCCGACCTCTGCGCGGCCTCGCGTGAGCACGTGCCTCCCCGGCCACCCTCGCGGGGACTCCCAGGAGAAATGGCCTGCGGCGGCCCGGCGAGGTCGCGAGCGCGCGTCGTGGGGACCGGACGCCACTCACAGGGCAGAACCCGCCCGGCGGCTGCTGACGTTACCGCGCTCCAGGCCGCAGGTGGCTGCTCCGGCAAGACCGCTGTGGATTGGGAGCGTCGCCAGTTGGCAGATGGGAAGCACCAGGAAATGCCCCTTCTACCCCCTCTCCACCCTACCACAACGCTGGGCCCCAGTCAGTCCTATGTTGCCCTCTGTACAATTCATCTGGGACACCCTCATCACCCGCGGGAGCTCCTCATCTCTCCCAGAACTCTCTCCTCCCTCCTGAGACTGGCCTTGTCTTTTCCCTGGGGACCCCTTGTCTCCCCCACCACAAACCACAAAAAAAAAAAAAAAAAAAACGTTGCTGTGGAGTCGATTCGGACTCATAGTGACCCTACAGGACAAAGTAGAATTGCCTCATTGGATTTCCAAGAAGCAGCTTGGTGGATTCCAACTGCCAACCTTTTGATTAGCAGCCGATCACTTAATCACTGCACCACCAAGGCTCTACGTCTCCCCCCAGGTCTCCTTTTACCCTTCCTCAGGGCCCCCTTATCTGCCCACCCCAAAACCTCTCCCTGGGATTGCTCTCATTCTTCTCCCCTACCCTCTCAACTCTCTCCTGTGACTCCCATTAGAACTCATCTCCCTGAAGGGCCACCCTGATGCCTCCTCGGAGCCCTTACCTCCCCACTGGGTTCTCCCACCTTGCCCTTGGCATCTTGATTCTTCCCCTGGCTCCTATTTGCCCAGTTCTCATTCTCCTCTTTCCTTAGACACCCCTTCTCTCCCCAAGGGCATTGTCCTCTCCAGCTCAAGACACAGCACCCCAAACATATGTCCCCTGGGTATTCCATACCTGCTTTGTTCCCTAGTCCAGGGGGAGCCACGCCAACTGGCCACTCTGGAGCTGAGGGCACTTGTACATTCTCATAGGTGAGCTCCCCATCCTCGTAATCGTCTGAGTCTGGAGAGGAAAGAGACCAAGGTGAGAATCAAGAGGTGGGGTCCTGAAGGAGGAGGGGATGCAGGCAGAACCAAGGAGATTCATTCACCCTTACCCTGTCCTAGCCGGGTGGAGATGCTCTTCTTCAGGGGTGCCTTCACAAACCGAAGGTCTGCATAGGTGATGGGCTCAGCCATGGTCCTGAGCCCCTCTGCACCCGCTGTTCTTGCCGCCTTGTCCACTGGCCCCAACCCCGCTTGCCACTCTCCGCTCTGTCTTTATACTCTTAGGCTTTGTGTTCCCTCTGTGAAGCACAGATAATCATTTTTACCCTGTGACTTCCAGTCACGAAAGAGGAAGATGTGAGCAAATCTCTACCAGATGGGTTCAGTGAAGCAGAAGGCATCGCTGGGCCTGGGACGGGGGGCAGACGAGGGGAGATTGAGGTTCAGAGTGTGGGAGTAGGTGCTGGGAGTGTCCAGGTCACTACTCGGATCTGACCATGTCCTGCGTATGTCCCCCTTCATGCATCCTAGACCCACTTCAGTAATGCTGGGCTCCAAACACTTGTCCTCCTGTTTGGCTACCCTGATTGCCCCCCGCCCCTCCTGGCTGCCTTGTCCACTGGGGCTTACGGATGTGTAGTCAGAGCTCTTCTGTGCACTACTGACCTCAGAGGATCTCAGTCACTGCTCCAGGGTAGGGCTCCATCGTTCCCATCAGATTTGTGGTACTAGTGTGGATCCCTAGCTTCCCACCATCCTGGGGTTCCCAGAGGGTATGAGTTTCTAGAAAGGGGTCCCCTGATGTGGTGGATCCCCAGATGGGGCTCATCTCCCCCATAGCTTGGGGGCTTTCAGGGTGGGCCCAGCTCCCCTCCTGCTATAGCCCCACAGATCTGCTGCGGAAGCTCTCCTCCCTGCCACAAGGAGGTTCTCACTCAAAAGCCCTTTCTGGGAATGCTGCAGCCCTTCTGGAGGATGCAGGGGACTTAGGACCAAACTGTTTCTCTGAAAACACACCCAGAGTTCCTCTTCAGAGCTTTTCCCTTCCCCCTCCATCCTTGTTGCCCTCCTGTGGCCTGTCAGCCCCTTCCTCTCTCCATCCTACCCCTCCCAGCCTCGTGACATCCTCTGTCCCTACAGCTGAGCTACTGTGCAGGATCCAGAAGGTGGAGCCCAGGAGGCTGAGGCCCCAGAATAGGCCTGGGCTGGGGGTGAGGATGAGAGACCCCACAGGGACCTTAGCACTGGCAGCCTCACAGCTTGTGCTCTGGAGAAGCCTTCTGTGTACCCCTGTGGGGGACCGGGGATCAAGGGAGCTGCCCAGGGATTAAGAACGGCTGCAGCTTCCTAAGCAGAGAAAGGAAGCAGGGCCAGGAGCTGAGTGTGCAGACTCTGGATCAGTCAAGATTTTTGTATCTTCTTGTTTTAGTTTTGGTTTTGCTCTTAGTTTCCTAGTAAAGTTCTTCCTGAAAAACAAGTCCCAACATGGTCCTTTCACACCCAGCCTGGAGGAAGAAGGGACATTTGGCAAAGCAGAGAAGGACCCAGTAGCCGAGAAGCACTCAGAAGGGCCCCTTAAAAAAGGGGAGGGCTTGGCCAATGGAGGACAGAGGGACACCCAGGGAGGGGAGAAGGGGGCTGCTAAGGAAGGGTGCCTGGAGATGCTCCTTAACATTCTTTTGCTCCTATAGGGAACCCCAAAAGGGCCTAATTCTGGGAGTGGGAAGGGGCTGGGGCAAGACAAGGTACAGAGGTGGGGAAAAACCCACCCCGCAGCGGGTGACATCCACCCCCTCAGAAACCCCTTCTGCAGCTGTGGGGAGAAAAAAGGAAGGGGAAAGAGGTCCTCGCCGCAGCTTAACAGCTTTTATTGTATGATTGGTGGTGTGTGGCGTGGCACTGTGATGGGCCCCATCCCCGAGAAAGTGCCTACTGAGGGACCTGAGTAATGTGTCTGAGGAGAGACAGGTGTATGTGTGTGTGCACATGCGTGCCCCCAGGTCTTTGCTGTCTGCTCCGGGGGTGTCATCCATGTCAAAGTCCGTCTGGAGGATTAAACACAGAGGACTCTGGGGGGCAAAGGGTGTCTGGGATAGCTGTTTTTTTTTTTTTTTTTCTAGGGCAGGGATGACAGACCATTTTAAGAAAAGTCTTAAGAGGTCATGGCAACAGGTTCTACAGATATTTCCTTTTTAAGGTTCATTGTTCCCTGAGGTGTCCCTGCAGCTGTTAACCATCCCTGCTTGGTTAAGGTTTCCAACAACCCACCCCCGGGCACCCCGCCAGGGCCTCCCCCAGATAACAGACAGTATGTGTTGGTGACTCCCTGGGGAACTCAGTGACCCGTGAGAGTGACTGGGGGCGTATAGAGCAGCTGGTGGCAGGATGCGTGGGGGCAGTCAGTGCACTTGTATCTGTGATGTAGGGAGTAGGGGGTATGGGCAGCATGTGTACCAACTGCAGGAACACCTGTGGGAATCCCATAAACTGTAGATAATGTCTTAGTTTTCAGGATTGATACATAGGTGAACATAACCTGGATGCCAGTAAAATGCCAAGACTGAGGCTCCCAGGGTACACTCTGAAAAAGAATCAGGGGCATACTGTCTAACTCGGCCCTTGGAGAGGCTTAAGAAGGGAGGGTACCCAAAAGGAGCTAGGATGAGTTAAACTGCATACCCAGCCCCAGGGCAGGAGCTGGCCTTGGAGGTCTTAACCAGGCTTGGCCTCTGTTTCTCTCGTCTTTTGCTCTTTTGGTGATGGTTGCATGTCTTCTCATGAGATCCTGCATTCCATTCTATCTTAGACCATCACATAGCCTTCTTTTGTGAACGGATGTAAAAGCGGAATTCTTCCCCTTCCCCATGTGTACCACATGGGATCTTTGCAATATTTACCTCCACATTTCTTTTGAAGCTAGACACCTGTAACGCCAAGCCATATCCCTACTGCGCAACTGTCAGAATCACCCAGGGGCTTTTAAGCGTTGAGGGCCAGTGCTGCACACGTTAGCATTTCCAGAACCACAATATCCTCATCTGAGCCCCTAGAGGACAAACACCAAAGCCCCTTTCTTGCCCTTACCTGGCCTCTCCACTGCCTATTACAGGGAATAGGGTGTTAAGGTAGACAAAAGGAAGGAACCCAACAGTAATGGCATCCAGAAAGAATTTTCAGTGTGGAAAGGGGCGCATCTTGGTAAAGCCCAGCCAACATTAAGAAGTCAGGGATGTCTCCTAAAACTCTGAAAGTCAGACTGTCTCTCTCTAACTCCAATCTAATCACTTGAGTTGTTGAAAGGGAGCATCTTTGCCAACTGTAGGAAGAGAGAGATTTCATGATGGAAGAAGAATTAGAGAGCTGCATCATGAGGACTCAACCAGCCCATTGCTGGCTTTGAAGATGGAGGAAGGAGGCCGTGAGCCAAGGAATGCAAGCAGCCTCTAGAAGGTGGGAACGGCAAGAAAATGGGTTCTCCTCTAGAGCCCCCAGAAAAGAACATAACCCTGCTGACACCTTGATTTTAGCCCAGTGAGACCCATAGTGGACTTCTGGCCTCCAGAACTGTGAGATAGTAAATTTGTATTGTTTAAGCCACTAGTTTGTGGTATTTCATCACAGCAGCAATAGAAAACAAATACACAAGTGTCTGCTAAGTTTCCTGAACTGTGGAGGAAGCATGATGTAATGGAAAGAGCACATTAATGGGGGTAAAGAGGCCAGTCACAATTTCCAAGGTTTTCATTGGTAAAATGCAGATGGTTTAGATGATGTGTGACATCAGTCAAAGGTGTGATTGCTGGAGACATAGTAGGTCTAGACTTTAACAAAAACATCTTAAAAAGTCTGATGCAACAGCTTTGGAGACAGGTGGTAGCAATATGGGCCACTTGATAGCATTATTAATAGTATTTGCAGTTCTTTGAATCACTGAAGACAAAGAGTGCCGCTAGGTCGCCCGTGACTCACCCAGGCCCCTCCTTGGTCCTGTGTTAAATGATGACACAGAAAGCACGTTCGTGTTTTCTGATGCCACAGAGCTGAAAAGAAAAGCAATCCACTGAAAGGCAAACTCAAGATTCAAACACTGCAGCAGGGCAAGATGATGACTCAAAACCACAGAACAAAATTTAATAAAGGTAAATAATAATAGCTAGCATTTATTGAAAAATGAAATTTGGGGTTCAGAAAATAAATTACATAAGCATGGGATGAAGGGTATCCTGGCTTACCAGCAGTTTATACACAAACTTTCAGGGAGGGAGAGGCAGTTATCAGACATTTTAGAGCTGCAAGGGAGAGCCCAACCCACTTATTTTACAAATTAGGAAACTGGGCTCCATAGGCTGTAAACTCAACTGTGTGACTGGGAGGGCCTGTGGCAAAAGCTACACTGATAGGACTTCAGCTCCTTTATCAATATGTCACACATCGTGCCAGCCACACCTATAGTCTCTTTTAACAGGGCAAACCCCTGCTGATGAGGCAGGCCTAGACCCTGGGATTTGTAATATCAAATTCTGACCTCAGCTGATTGAAATAACCAAGTGGGCAACTGACCCAAGACCTGGCCAGTCCATAGACTAGCCAGTGGCCTATGGGGTAGCCTGGGCTGGAAGTCAGGGATGATGTGAACTTACCAAATTTTCATTCTCAGGAATTTAAGGAAAATAAGGAGATAATCACTCAGCAGTGGGAGGTGAAACTGAAAGGCTGCATGGAGAGAGTCTGTCCACAGCGCAGAGTTCTCCATACCTTAAGCAATTGTGCCTGGCTACTCTCTCTCAAGTACTTGGTGGAGAGTAATTATCCTGGCAAGGGTAATGAACCTGATTATCATGCAGACATAGGGTTACCCTTACACATTGGGATGGGAGGACTGCCTCTGCAGCCAGGGGATTCCTGGGTGCCTCTTGGTGCTCCCCACCCAGTGATTAGCCATGAATGGACAACTGTGGCCATCACAGCCTGAAAAGGGCAGAGTAACCAGGGTTCAGACCCCTTGGAAGTGAACACCTAGGTTACCCACCAGGCAAGTGATCTAGAACCAGCAAGAAGTGATGTCCGAGGATGAGGGGAGTCTGGAAGGGATGCTAGAGGATCTAAGCTGAATAGAGGGTTGCAGCCTTAGAGCCAACCCTGCGGTGTGGATTGTAGTTTCTTTCACTAATCCTCCTATTTTAAGTGTTTATTTCATCTCCTCCTCTCCCTTCTTCTTTTTTAAGAACTTGTGACTGCATCTACCCTGAGACCAGAACTGGATGGTGCCTGGCTACCACTACCAACTGTTCCAATTAGGCCCACAATAGATGGACCTTGATAGGATGGGAGAAAAATGTGGAAAAGAGCTTCAAATTCTTAACAAACAAACAAAACAGACCTACCAGGCTGTTTAACACTGGAAGACTCCCAGAGACTATTGCCCTGAGACACTCTTCAAACCTTGAACCAAAACTAACTCCTGAGGTCAGCTTGTAGCTAAACAACAGATTGGCTCAAAAAATAACGAATATCACCCACAAGTACTGTGCTTCTTTAAAAAAGTCATCTATATGAGACTAAACGCTCAACAATTACTTCAGAACAAAGATGAGAATGTAAGGGGGCAGGGAAACTAGATTAATGGAAACAGAATATTGTGAAGTATGTAACCAATGTCTCTGAACAATTTGTGTAGAAATTGTTCAATGGGAACCTA